AGTCTAAGAGCATGATTGCATTAGAGGTTGATTTGCTCCCTCTGCTTGTATTGTTATTGCATGGCTTTGTTTGCGGGTATTCGGTAGAGCTCAGCTCCCTTGCCCATGTGTTTATTTTGCTTGATAGCATGTTTTCATTTTATCTGTATGATTGCAGTTTACTGTTTATTGCTTGATAGCATGTTGTTTATTTTTCAGTATGATTACTGTTATTTCATGACTGGCTTGAGGTTGAGACGAGCTTGTGGAGGCTGAAGCCCCACACACATTTCCTCCCTCACTTGCATTGCATGCATTTTACTGTTAAGCTGATGCTTTGTCTGTTTTGGTGTATCATTGACATGATCCCTTAGGACTCTCATTTCCTTTGATAAGGATTTGATGATAGACTTTTAGGTTGAAACCTATGCATGACAACATCTAGGAGTTCCCTGTTCAAACCTCAACCATAGGATGAATCCATGGCATGATAACAGTAGGACTTGATAGTCTCCCTCCTAGTTGGGCCTGTTCTCTTCTCATCTCAAAACAGTTTAAGATACAGTAATCATTAATGATTTCTTTCGTACGTTACGAGCCTTAAGCTATCTGAGAAAGGATTGTGGGAGAGCTTCTTTTCCATAGTCTGGATGTTTAGTATGGTACCCTTTGGGTGACATGCGACGCATTCACTCTCAGGTCATAGTCTCTAGTGTGGTTGAAATCGCAAACATAATAAAAAACACTTCTTTCGTAAAAACAGGAAATAAACCGTAGTTTCCCGAACTACGTGAGCTCTGATCTCTCATGCCTGTTGAGAGTACGTAGGCACAAGATGGCGATGTCTTGGCGAGCTACCTTCCCCCACAACCCTCCGTAGGCCGAACTACGTTGACTCTGATTTCTCATTCTCTGATGGGAATACGTAGGCATAAAGTGCGACGCTTTGCCGAGTCATTTTTCTTTTCTTTTTCAGCCAGCCTTGATAGGTAGATAGATTATAACCAACCCGTCCAAGTAAACAAACAAGCGTGGATCCCGTCGAGTACGACGGACGTGAGGGGTGCTAATACCTTCCCCTTGCGTAACCGACTCCGGAACCCAGACAATGGTTGCGATGACCTTGTCTTACCTTTTTTCGTCAGGTTTTTCCGATCGTTTCCTTTCCCGCCCTGAGGGATAAATAACGAAAGGTGGCGACTCTTCTGTTGTGCCGGCACCTTATTTTCGCGCAAGCGACACACACCCAATAACATGTTTGCCCATCTACCTTTATACGCCTGTTACTGACCAATCGATGAGTTTGATGCTCGTTCTAGAGACAAATATAACTGAGTAAACTGTCTATTTAGTGAGAAAGGTATTTAAGGGCGTTGAGGCCCGATATTAGAAGATTGAAAGACTTTTCCTAGCAATCGTGATAACTGCAAGAAAACTTTGACACCATTTTCAAGGGCATTGAGTAATGGTAAAAGCTAACTACCTCATTCAGTAGGTTATGAAGAAGCCAGATCTTGCTGAAAGGATGGTATCAAGTTAAGTACAATACATAGAGGAAGTATCAAGTCTTAAGTACTTACTAATTTTCTGGAAGAATTCAGTTCGCCAATAGGCGATGAGGCTCCTAACACATGGGTGTTATGTGTATATGGCACCTCTAACTTAAAGGGAAGTGGTACCAGGATAGTGTTGGAAGGACCAGACAACCTGTTAATCGAGCAATCGTTGAGGTTTGAGTTCAAGGATAACAACAATCAAGCTGAGTAAGAATCCTACATTGTCGACATGGTTCTCACCCTTGAGATAGGCTTTCCGAATCTAAAGGCCAAGAAAGACTTTCAATTGGTGGAAAATCAATTTGCTGAGGAATATCAGGAAAAGGAACCCTAACTCATCAAATATCTAAAAAAGTTATGTGATTTTTCAAAATATTTCAAAGCTTTTGAAATAACATATGTGTCTAGGGAATATAATTTTAGGGAGGGGCTTCTCTCCAAACCCGCCAACACAAAAAGAGCAAGACATAAATGCATTTTAATTCAAGAGACTATTGTCACCCCTATTATCGAGGCAGATGAAACCAATATTCTTGAAGTCGCCTAGACCACCATCTAGATGACACCTATAATGGGAAGTTTTACAAAATAGGAAGGGTTCCCCCATGCTAGGATGTTTATGAGAACATGAAATCACCCTAGTCCTTACAGAGGTGCACTAGGGGGCTTGCGAAAGTCACATTGGTGGGTGAGGTCTAGCCCATAAATTATTAAGAGTGGCTTATTATTGGCCTACTTTGATGAAGGACATTGTGATATTCATCAGGAAATGCGATAAATATCATATGCATGCCAATCTTCATCATGCGCCAATTGAAATCCTCTATTTTGTCATATCTCCTTGGCCATTCTACAAATGGGGCATGAAGATTTTGGCCACTTTCCCACCGGTGTCCGCATAACTAAAGTTTCTAATCATTGGAGTAGACTATTTCACAAAGTGGATAGAAGCTGAAGTCATATCCAAGATCACAATAAAAAGAGTTCGTCCTTTTTATTGATCGCGACTCATATGAAAGTTCAGTTTGTCAGGAGTTATCATTTCAAACAATGATACTTAATTCACCAACTCTACCGTGGTTGATTTTTGTCGCGACGTAGGAGTACAAAGGACATTCATTTATGTTGTCCATCCACAAGAAAGCGGGTAGGCTGAGTCAACAAACAAGGTGATATTATGGATGATAAAAAATAATTTAGATGAAGCCAAATGACCATGGACATAACAGCTTTAGGAAGTCCTATGGTCATATCACACCACCCCCTCATTCAACCACCAAAAAGTCTTCATTCATAATTGTATATGGCATGGACACCATGTTGTCTTTTGAAAGACTCCCATTTTGCAGCGCTATCAGTTCAAAGCAGAAGAGAACGAGGTAAGGCTAAGATGCGTAGCCGATCTATTCACAAGACGAGAGATCAAAAGGAGAAAAATTATGTTGCAGGAGTTGACTACTCACTTCCCACGCTCTTGAGAGGGAGTTAAAAGGAGAAAAATCATGTTGACAACGCTACAAAAGTTTCTCCTAGACGGTTTAGGGTCGACAACGCTATGGGAGAGAGAGTCAAAAGGAGAAAAATCATGTTCTCTTGAATTATATAGAAGTTAACTACTCATTTTCCACGCTCTTAAGAGCAACTATTACACTCTTGTGGCCTAAGATCCAGGCTCATGGGATTCCTATAAATACTTCAACCCTAAGGTTAAGAAGGAGATTTTATCGATTACGCAAAACACGATATACACAGCTTATCAGCATCTCTACGTCAACTTGTTGTAACACGATAATAACCCTAAAAACCTATGACAACCTTACACTACAAAGGAGTTGTCACATATTGTACTTTTAACAAGTACAAATTGCATATATTTGAGATATCCAAGATATGTATGAAGGGGTATCAACTAGTGTGCGAACATAGGGTGGAAAGACAAATGATTTCCCCATTATAATAGATTTGCATCAAGGTTCAACCCTAAACCCCTACCTATTTACTTTAGTTTTAAACGTACTTATGGAACTTATTCAAGAACTAACATTGAGAGCACGTTTTTTTGCAAATGATACAATCCTACTTAGAGAGGCGAATATGATTTAAATGAGAGTTCGAAGATGAACTTTAGAAATACATGACTTTCACCTAAGTAAAAGTAAGACGAAATATATGAAATGTAAGTTCAATAAAATGAGAAGTGTTTCTTACATTGAGGTGAAAGTTAGTCCGCATATTATCCCACAAGTCACGCATTTTAAATATCATGATTTTTTAATACAAAATAATATAAAAATGGAAAAGGATGTAAACCGTCGATTTCAAACTGGGTTTTACGTGACACAAAGGTATCCATAAAGTTGAAAGGGAAATTTTATCTAAGTACGTGAAATGTTGTACGAGACATACTGTTGGGTGGTTAAAAGTCAACACGAAAATAAAATAAGTGAAATAGTTGTGAGGATGTTACGTTGGATATACAATAAAACTAGACATGATAGAGTTAGAAATGACAATAATAAAAAGTATTTGTGTAACATTTATACTATGGTGAAAATAAACTTAAATAATTTGAACATATATAAAAAAGACTTATAAATTCTATAATAAGGATAATAGATTAAATGAAAAAATCAAATAACTAGAGAAAAACCTATAAAAAGACTATAAGAAAAATTATTTAAAAAATCTAGATATTAACAATTTAGATAAAAACATCATCATGAATAGAACATTGTGACAAAAATTGATCCATATAATCAAACCCCATACTTAATTGTTGTTGTAAATCTATATTTTATCCACAATCCAATTTGAGATGAAATATCAATACAAATAGTAAGATAGATTAACTTTCTCTTAATTACATACATGTTTATACTAATTACTTAGAGACGATTAGATTGTTATATTATTCTCAATGTAAATAAGAATATAGAGCATCATGCTCAATGTAATATAAATTGCACATCATTTTTATTTCATCAATAATAAAAATCTATCTCTTTATCTCAAGCTCTCACCATTAACATATATCAAGCTTAGTTGTTATATACAGTAAACTCATGAATGCTCTAGAAATTTTAGCTGGTTTTATCATGTTTCTGCTAAATCATACCTCAGCCATATGAAATATGAAAATCATTAAAAGCTTTTAAATTTATCATCTCAACAATGACTAGCACTTCTCACATCATAGGAGTGGATAATTCCGTGAATTCTCCAATCAAGAAAGTTGGGGACATGTTAGACGCCAGTAGGATCAACTCAAATGCCTAAAATACATAAACTATGCTTTACTTTTAAGAGATAGATATGCAAAAGTTTATATGGATCAGACCATTCATAGCATCCAGAACAAAGGCAAACACAAGTCTACAAGTAAATGTGCAAGTTCCTTGGACCCTTTTACTTCTAATGAGCTCAACAGAAATACTGGTTTCTTAGTACAGAAAAATAACAGTAAAATTATATAAGACTTGGGTAGACCGGTCCTTTAGATATCCCAAGGCGAACTTCCATTCCATGATGCATATCCAATGGCCGGAAAGTCTCTGATTCGCAAGGGTCTGCATGCAACATTAAAAACATTGAGAAAGGTACGGAGAGAAGTACTAACAAAGTGCCATACGCCAATGAACCAAAAGTAATAAGCATCAGATATTTGCGTAATTCTTACTACTTATCATGGATCCAAAGTTCACAACATAGCCAATCCAATAGCTTTTTTTGGATTCAAAGTAAATCAATTATTTAGTAGAAGTTCAGTCTAAGGGCATGAATAATAATTAAAACAAATTCAATTTCTCTCAAATAACTGGGAGATAACACTCTTCCACAGTTATTCAACCTCTATGCAGCGAATATATGAGTGTCATAGCACACTGCTGTTTTATAATAACAGGGATGCCAGCATGAGCAGCAGCATTATATCCCCTCTGCCCAATCTTGATTTGTCTCCAAAAGAAATTTCTCTTTTATATACATATGGATCAATTGAATTTGGGTCACTTGGAGGACCACTATAAGGACCCTAACATCAGTTAATAAAACAAGAGATCCGCCTTAAGTTCAAGTGCTAATAGACCAGCCAAACTGTCATTGTCCTGAAAAAGACCAGAAGAATCCTCATATGGTGCCTTCCTAGTAACAGCATCGTTTTCATTGACTAACAACAGCTGTACCAACTTTGACTACAGTATTGAATACGATTAACGGACTTGACGAGATAAATCCATGAAGTTCAAAGACCCAGTCGAGCTGAGTCAAGATTATTAAGTTACTACAAACTAAGTGAGTGACAGAGAGGCCCAGGTTGAGGAAAAAACGAGTACTGGAAATGCCGCCAATCCACTTGGGTGGGCCGTTTATAACTTTTTTTCGGTTTGCACCGTGGAAATGCCGCCAATCCACTTAACAGTCTTAAAAGACTAAAACTAATGGATAAAAACTATACATATACCTTATAATGCTTTGTATCGATAAGGTGCAAATTTTCAATAGCATTGCACATTAACAATATGTCCTAAATCAGCTATGATAATTTTCATATAAATAACTATTGGATTATGGAACCATAATAGTGTTGTATAAGTCATTCCAACTTTTACAATCATCACAAAACAAATGGAGCATAATTGCAAGTACCCCATCTTAATCACAACTCACAAGATTTATGACAAAGTTGCTGAATATTAATCTAAACAATTACAATCATCTCAAAACAAAAAAGAACTCAATTATATATACCTAAAAAACACCTTATTCTTAAGAATATAATTTAAGTTCAAACTAGTTGAACACAATGCTATAAGGTGTAGAGCATAAGTTCTTTCCAAAGTTTAGTTATGCATAAGAAAAGGTCTAAAAGACTTAAAAAGTTATACCAATCAAAAGAACAATCCATAACATATTAAATCCAATTATATCATGCAGGAAGCACTACTTAAGTAGAGACTAAATGTTTGGGAGCGAAACAATGGCTGGCCATACAGAGTACTGACCACATGTAGGTCCATATATAGAGAGAAATTAGTTACTGGCCGTACTGAGTACTGACTACATGTAGCTTTCCAAACATAGTTCAACTCAAGGGAGTCATGAAGTGGTTTGGGAGAGGAACACAGGGATTTAATTGATTAGGAGATCATGTGTTCAATTCCCCCTCTAACAAAAATAGTAACAACTAACTATAAACAGTCATTTAAAAAAAAAAGTTCAACTAAAAAAAATAGAGTAATAACAATTGGCAAAAGAAAAAAGAAAGGCAAGTCATATCACCGTTTAGAAAATCCTCGAAACCAAAGTGATCAAGACTTCCTGTAACAGTCTCCAAACCCAGCATTGAAGAAGGAATTACCCCAGGAGGCCTCTGGAACCTACAGGGAACAATCATATTACATCAAATTCAAATCACTCCTTTTTCAATAAAGATATTTAAGCAATTTTTTCTACAGTAAAAGAACAACAGATCAAACCAAACATAAAAACATCAGACCAAGAATCATTGTCAGTTACTCACATTCACATATCATTGTACCAATACTTGTTTTCACATTTACATGCCAACACATTTTTAGTTACCATTGTTTTTCCTATCTTGTCCAATACATAAACTGTGACTGAAATTCCTACCATACACATTAAAACACTCACTACTTATACAAACAATGTTCCATCTCAAGTTACACTGAAATTAAGTGTTTCGATTTTGAATCATTTTATAAAGCTAGCTAAATTTGAAAATCAGATGAATAAAATTTGAAACACTCATACCGAGAAAGTATTTGCCTATCGAGTTCCTCCTTCAGTGGAAAAGCAGCTCCATACAGGTTCACTTTGCATTGCCTCTTCATAGCTTCTTCCACTCCCCTTACCTAACAATAACACCCAAATGAAAAACGAACGAACATAACACTTCAAAAACCGAACTTTCACAGACAGAAACAAAAGAAGATTACGTTCAATTACATAAACCACTTTTAGGGTTTTCTTCGATCAAATTTTTTTCGAAACCCTAATTAATAAGGGGAATTCGGAGCAGCATAAATTAGATAGAGCTGTTGAAACAAATAGATCCAACAAAAGGTAAATTGAGAAGAATCAAAAGATGAAATTGAAAAGAAGAAAGAGAGAATGGGGATTACAGATTGGAGAGATGATTCGAGAGGGTGAGCGCCAACGATGTCGCTTTTAACTCCGGGGAGTCCGAATCGAAGCACGTCGTTTTGGATACCTCCGATTTGGTGTGCAATGGTTTTTGATGCTTCCTCCATTTTTGTGTTTTTCGATCTTCACTTCTCTTTCAGTTTCAATCAAGCTAGATCGCAGGAGCTACAGGGTCTCTTTATATATAACTCTTAAACGAGTTTCTTTGTTAACAAGTTAATTAATTAATTAAATACAGTGTTCACTTTAGTTAAAAATTAAAATAAAATAAAAAGGATTATAGCACTATTTAACTAACTACTAGTGTTAATAGACACTATGTTTGTTTCTAGAGAAATAGAAAAGAGAGAACTGAAAGAGGGGGAAGTAGAAAAGAGAGTCTGTTTCTCTTGTTTGGTGCATGAGAGATGAGAGAATTTTTATTTTCTTTTTTAAAATTTGACTAATTTAAAATAATCAATTTTATTTGTTAGGATCGGATTAAAAATCACAAAATTCTGGATAACTTTGGCACACCACAATAATTATTTGGGTTTAATGAAATTTAAATTTGAAATCTTAAAAAAAAAAACACTTTCAAAATTTAAAACTAAAAAAAAAATGATGAAATGTTTAATGAATACTTCAACACAATATTTTAAAAATCAGATCGAACCATCAAATTTAACGGGTTGGACTAGGAACCGCAGGTGATTCCGATCAGATTCGTCATGTAAAATCACAGGTAGGTCAAAATCAAAGTAAAATTAGAAAAATCAGATTGAACTGTTCAAAACCGTTTGAATCAAAAAATCAGAGCCGATTTTATAAAACCATCCGATTCAAAGAAACGACAGTTGTTGAAAAATTTTAGTATTTTTTATATCAAAAATTGAAAATAATTATTATGTTAGCATCAATACTTAAAACATTTTCACTTAAAAAAAACTTTTTTTTAACACAAAAGTTCAACACAATTTCTAAGTTATAATACTATTTTATAGTTTTGTCTCTTTAAGTGTACCATTATACTGTGTAATTATATTTATAAGTGATTTTATAGTATTAAGTTTGTAATGAATTTTTAAAATATTTAAAATAAATTTGTGAAGATATGATTACGTGACTTATTCATAAAATTTAGTTTTATATTCTTAATTTATTTAATTAATAGTTCAATTGATTGAACCAAATGAACTTTAAACTAAAAGTCTTGCCGATTCGACTTTCAATTTTTAAAATATTACTTCAACGTAACCAACAACATAAGTTCGGATGTTTTTTTATTAAATTCATTTGTTTTATACTTTTTTATTTAATTTAAATAAAGAATTATGGTTGTATTATGGTTCTTGCATAATCTTAAATTCATTTGTTTTAGACTTGCTTATTTTATTTAAATAAAAAGTTATGATTGTATTATGGTTACAATGAAAATTCATATATATTTTTAGTGTATACTGTTTTAGATAACAATTTATTAGTCAATCTGAGAAAAAAAAAATTTCTTTATTTTTCTTTTATTTCTCTTATATCAATTAATATTTTAAATTTATCATATTTTTGATATCGTCTTTTTTTTTTATATTCTGTCTTATCTTCTTGTCACAACTTTTTTGAAAATCAAACATATCATAACTCATAATTCATCAAATTTATTTATTAAATAATTTATTAAACTTATTCACTGATAAAAATGCTAGCTAATGAATTGAATCAAAATTTGTTTATTTATATTATGTTTGTTTTAGGTGAAATAGAGAAGAGAGAAGTTGGTAAGATAGAAAATGAAGATAAATGTCAAATTTTTCTCGTTTGATTTGAAAATAAGTTGAAGAGAGATCAATTAAAGTGAGCTTCACAACTTTTCTATTTCTTCTAAAAACTGCATAGAAAATGGAAAACAACACCATTCATTTTTTTTCTTTCAATTTTACACTTATTATTACTACGCGTATCCCTGCACAAGTAAAATTATTTGATACTGTATAAAATATATTTAAATATATATATAAATTTGATACAATATAAAGTATATATATATATATATATATATATATATATATATATATATATATATATATATATATATATATATATATATATATATATATATATATATATATATATATATATATATATATATATATATATATATATATATATATATATATATATATATATATATATATATATATATATATATATATATATATATATATATATATATATATATATATATATATATATATATTTAAATTTAAAATTAACTATTAAGTTTAAAATGAATAATGATTATGTAAATTTAATTAAATTAAAATATAAAAAAAAAAAGACTCGTGAGATGAAAAAAAGAATATTTAATATTTAAAAATAAGAATTTTATCTTTTAAATTAAGATAATTATTGATTAAAATAAAATATGTATTGTGTTTATAGTGATCTGTAAAATAAAAAATTTATTTGATATAATATAAAATATATTTATATATAAATATAAAATTGAAATTAGTTATTTAATTGTATTAAATAATGATGCAAAAAGAAAAAAAAAACTCTTGAGATGAAAAAAGACAAAATAGAAAATTTTGATGCGATAATGATATGTGAGATAAAAAAAAATTTTGATGCGATATAAATGTATTTAGATACAAATGAAAATTTTAAAACAATTTACTTAATTGTAAAATAAACAATAATCATACAAATTTAATTGTATCAAATAATTATATATATAAAAAAAAGAAATTGTGAGATGAAAAAAGAAAAAAATTAATATTTAAAAAAAGGATTTTGTCTCTTAATTTAAGATAATGGTTGATTAAAATAGAATAGATATTGTGTTGACAGTGACCCATGAGATAAATATATAGTGTTATTTTATTAAAATAAAAAAAATTATTAATATTTTTAGTGTAAATAAGTAAAAAGTTAAAATAAAAGTGAGAAAGTGTGTGGAAAAAAATGTGAGAGAGATTTGAAATTTCAATAAAAAGAGAGAATGAGTGCATAAAAAAGATTGACAGTTTACATGTAAATAAATGGATGGTTGAGAATAAATTGAAACATTTATTAATTATTAATTTATCCATAATATATTATAATAACTTTTTGATAGAAAGACAACTAAAACAATGCATACAATCTACTTTTAATGGATTGATAGGAGATTATCATAATTGTTCAACTTAATTAATATCGTTATTAATTGTTGCCCCTTAGATCTGCAACAACATCTATTTCATTGCTGAGTGTAAAAGATTATATATATATATATATATATATATATATATATATATATATATATATATATATATATATATATATATATATATATATATATATATATATATATATATATATATATATATATATATATATATATATATTTATTTATTTGTTTTATACTTGTTTATTTTATTTAGATAAAAAGTTATGATTTTGTCAGCGGTTGTTGCATAAATTACAATGTAAAATTTTATATTTTTTTTTAGTGTATAAAGTTTTAGATAAAAATTTATTAGTCAATTTGAGAAATTTTTTTTTCTTTCTTCTTTATTTATTTTTATTTCTTTCATATCAATCAATATTTTAAATTTATTATATTTTTCACATCATTTCTTTTTTATATTCTATCTCATCTTCTTCTCACAATTTTTTTTAGAATCAAACATACCATAACTCATAATTCATCACATTCATCTATTAAATAATTTATTAAACTCATTCACTAATAAAAATGTTAGCTAATAGATTGAATCAAATTTGTTTATTTAGACTATATTTGTTTTAGGTGAAATATGAAAGAGAGAAGTTGGTAAGACAGAAATTGAAGATAAATGTCAAAATTTTCTCGTTTTATTTGAAAATAAATTAGAGAGAAATCAATTAAAAAGTGAATTTCACAACCTTTCCATTTCTTCTAAATATTGCAGAGTAAATAGAAAGCAACGCCCTTCATTTTCTTTTTTTCTATTTTACCATTATTATTATTATTATTATTATTATTATTATTATTATTATTATTATTATTATTATTATTATTATTATTATTATTATTATTATTATTATTATTATTATTATTATTATTATCATCATGATTATCATTATTATTATTATTATTATTATTATTCATAATTGTTCAACTTCATTAATGTTGTTACTAATTGTTGCATCGTGTATTTGCAACAACATCTTTATTTTATGGGTCTTGCTAACCAGTGTCCTCAGGGCACTATTTAAACATTCCATATTAAAAAATTATTCTTTAAAAAATTCAAACACTTCAATTTCCAATGCACATTATTATATATCATTGCACATATTTTTATAAAAACTTACTATTTAAAGTTTTAAAAAGTGCCCTGAGGGCACTGGTTAGCATTTCTCTTATTTTATTGTAGAGTGGAAGATATATGTGTGTGTATGTGTGTAAAATTCTCCAATACAATTGTGTGGGCCTCTGGTACGATGTAATGAGGGTGTGCTTGCAAGGGTCAGCATTCAATGATCAAGTCAGAGAAAATAAAGACGTGTAACTTGTAAGAGTGAAGAAATTATATAATGGCGCGTAGACAAGTATAAATATGATAAGCGGTTAAAATTGATCTTGGTTGGCACATTGTGAATTATGGGAGACCACCATATTAGACCCAAAGGTTGATGATGAGTGTAATACCCTAAATCCACGATAATATTTTTTCTTTCTTTATAAAAATATTGTGAAATATATGAATATAAGACAAGAGTGTCACAATAACATAATCCTCAACCTTTTACTTCGAAATATAAATACAAATTCAAATTATAATAATAAGGTACAATTATTCGATTTAAGACAAGGTAGAGAACATAACAAAACAATCTCAACCTTGATGTTACACAATATCAGAGCTGTTATTCCAAAATAAACTAATAACAGACTTAAGATCTAGAGAAACATAAAGTCAAATAAGCAGTCGAAGTGGCCATCTACACTATCTTCCATAAACAAACATCAATAATCACTCATCAGTCTCAACCTGAGAACTATTTGCACAGGGATTCACATAGAGGAACATAGAAACAAAAGGGGTGAAAATATATTCTATAAAATTATATGGTATTAACATACAAACATGTTATTCAC